AGATGCTAAAAGCCTGCTCGCAAAGAATTTGAATTCATGCTAGCACAGGGAACCATTCCCCCATCTTAAAAGTCCATGGGCCAGTCCATTTCACACTGGTTAAAAGTCTAATGGTGACTGGCGGGCCTTGTGGAGATTATCGTCGACTTAATGCCGTCACAGTCCCTGACAGATATCCAGTCCCCATATCCAAGATTGTACCCATCTTTTTCATGGAACAAACATATTTTCTACCCTCGATCTTGCCAGAGCATATCATCAGATCCCAGTGCATGCTGTGAAGATGTGCCCAAGACCGCAGTGACTACACCATTTGGTCTCTTTGAGTACTTTATATGCCATTTGGCCTTCGCAATGGCCTGGCACCATTTTCATGTCATGGCCAAGTCTGTTCTCATCGATTTCTGCATCCCATATTTTTCAGGATGATATCCTGTTTCATCGGCAAAGAGCATTTTCAACATCTGCGTCAGATTTTCACTCGCCTTAAAGATCATGGATTAAACTAAATCCATAATATCCTGGTTTCCTCTACTAAAACATCTGCGTCAGATTTTCACTCGCCTTAAAGATCATGGATTAAAACTAAATCCATCCAAATGTGTACTTGGTCAACCCTCAGTTTCCTTTCTTGGATGTCTTATCACCCAGAATGGAGTCAAACCTTTACCGGAAAGAGTCAAAGCAATTAACGACCTACCTCAGCCCAAAACCATCTCTGAACTGAAGCGTTTTCTAGCAATGTTAAATTTCTACCGACGCTTTCTGCCAAATGCCGCAAAAACACAAGCCTGCCTACATGAGTTTCTGAAGAATAGCAAAAAAAAAAACGATCAACGAGCTGTCCCTTGGACTGAATCTGCATCTGCAGCATTCGTGCAATGCAAACACGATCTGGCAAATGCAGCCACACTTTCTTATCACTCACCTAGTGATCAGCTCTCTATAATGGTAGAGATGCATCTGACACGGCCATAGGAGCAGTGCTTCAAGCCCATACCACTAAAGGACTTTCCCCAATGGCATTCTTCTCCAGAAAACTTACTACTGCAGAAAGGAAATACAGCACATATGACAGGGAGCTACTTGCTGTGTGTACTGTGCTGTTAAATACTTCCGGCACAACTTGGAAGGACACGACTTCATCATTTTCATCGATCACCTTCGCTTCTAGAAAAAACTCTGACTCATGTTCTCCTCGTCAGCTTCGACATCTGGATTTCATCGCCCAGTTTAGTACAGATATCAGATATGTCTCTGGTACTGATAATTGTGTCGCTGATGCCTTGTCTCGGGTAAACAATATCAACCTCACTACCCCAGATTTCTCTGAAATTGCAAAAGCTCAATTGCATGATGAGGAACTCAAGAACCTAATCTCAAATCCATAAACCTCCCTTCAGTTACAACCGCTGCACATTGATCCAACGCTTAAAATTTACTGTGACATAGAGAACAATAGAATACGTCCCTATATTCCTGTCAATTTTAGATGTGAAGTATTTAATGCCTTGCACAATTTGGCACATCCTGGAATCCGTGCCACCAAAAAGCTGATCGCAGACAGATTTGTCTGGCCAGCAATGAATCAAGACATCACAGAATGGACTCGTTCATGTATTAGATGTCAACGGTGTAAAGTATCCCGTCACACTCACAGCCCCATTCAACAATTTAACCTTCCAACACAGAATGGACTCGTTCATGTATTAGATGTCAACGGTGTAAAGTATCCCGTCACACTCACAGCCCCATTCAACAATTTAACCTTCCAGCAAGACGCTTTGATCATGTGCACTTAGACTTGGTTGGCCCATTGCCTCCTTCAAATAGTTACACTTACCTCCTCACTTGTATTGATCGGTACACAAGATGGCCTGAAGCCATTCCTATTGAAAATATATCCGCTGAAACTGTAGCTCGAGCATTCATCTCCCAGTGGCTTTCAAGATTTGGCATGCCTACCACCATCACTACTGACCAAGGCCGACAATTTCAATGTCACTTGTTCGCATCCCTCACCTCTCTTCTGGCATTCGCCATATTCGCACAACACCATACCATCCATCTGGAAATGGGATGGTGGAACGCTTTCACCGATCTCTCAAACAAGGTCTGAAGTGCCACAGTAGCACACACTGGACAGAAGCCTTACCCCTAGTCTTGCTTGGTCTTCGCACAGTATTCAAAGAAGACATTGGTAGCACTTGTGCTGAAATGTTATATGGTGCAACCCTCCGTCTGCCAGATGAATTCTTTCACCCAGAATCTACTCCAGTTATCGACCCTCCAACATTCCTTCAAAGTTTACGTGAGACCATGAGCAATATCTCGCCAACCCCAGCATCTTCGCATAACCAGCCAAGCTATTTTGTACATCCTGCGCTTGAGACATCGTCGCACGTATTCGTGCGCAACGATGCAATTAAGCCAACTTTAACACCTTCATACGATGGTCCATTCAAAGTTGTCAAACGAACACCGAAACATTTCACCATCATCTGCAATGGCAAACAATCAGTGATTGGAATCGATCGTCTCAAACCAGCATTTCTAATGCAAGATCCAACAACTTCCTCATCAACATCACTCCCGGAAGAAAGCTTACATCCCGTTAAAGAGCAACCTAAAACTACCAGATCTGAAAGAAAGGTTAAATTTAACCCAAAGTACTTATAACGTACCGATGGTACTTGGGGGGAGTACTGTGGCGTTCCGACAGATACTTCAACTTCTATTCACGAGATGGCGCCACGTGTAAAATCCAGTTCTTAATCGGAGCAGCAAAGCGACGTCATTACTCACTCAGACTTCTCGTGAGACAACTGTACGCGACGGTAGCATGAACTGTGTTCCGAGCTCTGTGTTGATCTCTGCAATGTAATTTAAATTGTAATTTAGTACTTAATATATTCTTTGTTATAGGAGATTGTCTACTTTTATTTTCTTTAATTATATCATGCATTAAGCACACGACCACCAAAAGTGTTTCATAATTCAGTAAAAAGAATGGAAGGAAAGAAAACAACAATTGTCAAAATTCCGGATTAAATTAATGATCTTATTTTTTAAATTTAAAGAAAAGATCCATTCTACGTTTCTATCACAAAGCTGAAACATTATTTTAAGCAATATAATTGAAAATGGAAATATAGAGCAAAAATTATACTAATATTGTTTTTATATAGAATTATGGGGCAAAGGATTTGTGGAAATTACTCGTTTTAAATGGATTAATTTGAAATATCAAATAGATTGGCCAAACAATAGTTTTCATGAAATGTATTTGCCTGAAAACGAATATATGAGACTGAAAAATTTATTATTTGACGGTATATCATATTTGATAAGCTATGTAACTCTAAAAAAGTTAACTAATGGAATAATGAAGAAACTCCTATCGATAAGCGTTTGATTCAAATTTAAATTATTTCAACGAAAATCATATCCCTTGTGTGCATTTCACAAAAGCTAGAAAATTCGCTCTTTGTTTACCTGCTCTCAATGCAGCTATTGAAAGGGTCTTTTCTATTACAAATAATTTGGGGACAGCAAAAAAATCGAAGTTGAATATTGATACCGTGAAGGAAATATGACTAAATGCAATTTCAAGTGCAAGACTAGAGAAGAGTTCAGAGAACAAATTTAAAACTGCAACGAACTACTTAAAAAGACTCATTTCTGTTCAAAATACAACTAATCATTTATACTTTAAATAAATATTTTTACTATATTTGTATATTTTTTTTCATTTGTTTATTTTTTACTATCTTTTTTTCGTTGATGTAGGGCATAAATGTTCCGGATTATCCTGCATCAAAAATGGTCACCCTGCACAAACACCAAATACCTAATAATAAACAATGGAGACACACAATCGAGATAGTAGCAATACTAAAACCGCTGAAAAAATATCCTCGATTTGTCCTTAATTTTTAAATGCAAATTTGATCCCATGATTTGTCAGTTATCAGGTTACCCCATTATGCAGTCGGTTAACAATAAACGGTTTCTGGAGCAGACGCGTGCAAACTTGATGACTTTTTAACAGAATATGCTTTGAGGGAATATTTCACTCTTGAAATTTTGAGTAATATTATCGCCTTGCTTATTTCCTGTTTTTAAGAAATATATGCATAGACACTGAATTTTATATTAAAAAGAGTGAGTGCTTTTTTTCTTCCTTTAGCAGTGCAGTTTTTTTGACGCGTTCTTGGCGTTTCTTTGGTACTTTGAGCTCAATGTGAACGATTTGAACTTTTGCACATCTAATCAGATATTCTGTTTTGCCCAGATTACGAAAACATAGTACCTACTGAAAAATCACGTATCACCATAAACGGAAGAATTCAGAACAACGCACTTTGGGCATTTTGCATACTGGGCTGTATGAATAATTTAGTAATCTTTTACATATGATAGACTCGCAAGGTGTAAGGAAGCAAACGATGCTATTAGCGCGAGCGTTGAATTGATTTGCCGACTGCTTAAGAGAGACGTACTGCCTGCTGTTTAATTTCAAGTTACCCAATCTTTTAACCAAATTAAAGTTTCAGTATGCAAGTATTTCGCTTTCAGTAAATAAGACTTGATTTTAAAGTGCAATAACACATGTATGTATTCACTAGTAATTCACTGACTCCTTACGGCAACTTAACATGCTTCCTTACGATAAAATAAACGATAACAGTGTTTTGTAAACTTTGATTAAGCTTCAGGGTCATAACACATTGTAAAATATCACCAATAATCTTTTATTTGTAAGAATTTTTGCCTCTCGGAATAATTTGTGTGTTTTTTTAATCTTGTGATGTCAATCATTTTCTATTAAAATTTTCAATAACAAAGTGTTAAAAATGAAATAAAATACTTTTAAAACGTCTAACATTTTCAACAATGAAATTTCCTTTTCCTTCTTCTTATTTCTTTTTTTTTTCCTCGGAGAAAGGATTTTGAGAAGAAGCCTTACGTCACGAAATTTCTTTTTCTTTTTTTGTTGGTATTTCTACGATTGGAGGATGATGCGGAATAGTGTAATACTTACCTTTGATGACGTTCTGTTCAGTTTGCTACTTAAATTTATTGCAGAAGTGATGCTGAAATTGCATTAAATGTGTAATTTATGTTCTCTGATTCGTGTTCGGAAAAAAGCGCTAAGGTTTAGTACTGTGAGTTGGTGTAGTAATTGTCAAAATGTGTAGATACGCTTATGTCTTGCTACCTGTGATATTGCTGTTTGTTTTTGTCACGGAAGGTAATTACACCTTGTGTATTTATTATACAAGGAAAATAGTTTCTCATTCTTCTGCTTTTGTTATATTAAATATCTGTTATGAATTCCTGTTATATTGATTTCTTCCATCGATAATAACGTATTAAAATTTGAAGATGATTTAGTGTTGTGTATATTGTTACTTTGTTTTTTTAGGGGGTATTTATTTATTGGTTATTTATCAAATGTCGTAGTGAACGTATTTTTAAATAAACCTATGACTCATCTCACAAAGTAAAAAAAAGCTGCCCTATCTTAATTTACGTAGTTTTAACAAAAATTAATTATTTGGATTTTAGTGTTGAATTTTATTTTGGTGGTGGTGTTTCGTATTTAGTAAATGACTTTATTGACTGTTGCACGTTTTAATTGTGATCTCTAATGTGATGATTTGTGCACATAACACATTAAAATTTATAATGATTTGGGTGCAATTATTAGAAAATTACTTATTAGAATGTTTTGATAATAATTAAGTTAATAATAAAATTGAATATTTCATGTTAATTTGTAATAATCGTTTCTGTTTTCTAGTATCTAGCATTGTTTGCACCAGAGAGGATATAGTGTATGATACCAGGCCTTTAGTATGTCCTGGCCCAAATGATCCCAAGGACCGGATTTATTGCTGTGGTCCTAAGAAACTGCGTTACTGCTGTAGTTATGCAGATTATGCATCTGCTATGTGAGTAAACAAAAATTAGTTTAAAAATAGCTTGAAAGTAAATATTACATGTCATTTGCAAATGGTTATTGAGTTATAAAAGTCTTTTCCTTCTTCCAAATTTCTAAAGTGATGAAATTTGCTTTATTATTAAATCTTGATATGTATTTATATATTTATGTGCATGTTTTAAATATCTGTTTGTGTATCTGATGAATAATGATATTAGTCTGTATAAATTAATATTTCATTTTTTATAAAGCAGAGGAAAAGATAAAAATTTAATTCTCCATGCCATTATTATCTATGCAGTGATTCCTCATACATATAAAAATAAAGGGGAAAATAATTATTAATAACATAAGAAAAATTGGTTGCATATTAATTTTTTTTTTTTAATTAGCCATCCCATTTTATCGACTTCTTATTTCATGACAACAAAAATGACGTAAGTAAATATAACAAACTGATATAAATAAATGTATCATTAAAATTGGTATAGTTATGTATACGTTTTACCACTTTGCTTTTTTGAATTTGTGTCTGTTACATTGAACCTCTTAGTAAAAATTATATATATATATGTGCTGGTTCTAGAAGTTGTTCTTCATGCATTGCATTAATCTGCTCTTGACTGAAATTTTGTGTAGGGTTAATTACTAAAAGCATAATATAAAGTTTTTAAGAATCTCGGCCACTCTTTCTGTGATATTTTGCAGAATTTTCTTTATATTAGTGATTATATTTTTCTTGGTGTTTCTTTTTTATGTTGGGAGATTATATCTTAAGTATCATTTTGATCAATTTTTTAAAATCGCCTGCCTTATACTGGTAACTGCCTGTGGATTTCAAAAATTGTGTTCTGAAAGTTTCGAAATAGCAAAACTTGCAAAGTTCTGGGGAGTGTGCACAGAAAATCTTGGATGCAAGAAGGGTTTGCTTTTTCAGGGAATTTCAAGATGACTCCAGCAGCAAGGTGAAGTTTCATCTGAAGAGATGAAGGACCGGTCATATTCTGTGAATGTTTTTAATGCATTCTTATTGGCACAATCTTGTTAACTATTGTTTATAAACTTTTGTACAAAATAGCTGAGTTGTTATAAAATTTACTTACAGCTTCTAAGATCATAAAAGATCCTTCTGTATACTGCATATGGATTCTGATGTTTAATATACCCTTCTAAAACATGTTACAGACTGTAGAGTTGGTTTGCCCTCCCCTACTGGTTACTAAAAGAAAATTCCCATCACACCCTTTTCCGTCATCTATGGTGATATAACTAATTAATTAACTAATTTAAATTGAATGTTAATTAGTAAACAGTATTTAATGATTTTAAAATGTATGCCAATATTTTTTTAATATTTGCAATATGTTTAATTAAATAATAGGTTGGATTTACTTTTAATAATTTGTTTTGCTTGTTTTAAAATTTTTATGCTTTTTTTTATTTCAAAACAGTAATACCATAGGGATCATAGTTGGAGTGCTGGTGACAGCTCTTGTTGTTGTTGTTATCATAGTGGTGGTGTCATGTTTCTGCTGTAGTTGTTGTCTCCTGGCCAAACGTCGTAACAGGCAAGGAAACACATCTTATGGTAAGTTTTAAGAAATCGCACACCAATACACACCATCTGATATATAGACACATGCATACATCTATGCAAACATGTAACCGTAGAATTCTGATTGCCCAAACCCAAGAACGTCACAGCGCGCAATGAACTAGAAGTTGACCTGTCAGCACTCTCCTTGTCTTCAGGGCAGATGTTTTTATTTTATTCAGCTTATAATTCCTTACTAAATGTAGTATTTCAACGCCACCTTTGATATGATTTATCAAATTCTTCATCATTATAAATATCACAAATACAGATCAAATAGTTTTCTGGTTTCAATTTTCTAATTTCGACTATGCGTAATCTATGCTTTACTCATGCGCACGTTGAAAGAAATATTTTAATAAAGTAAACAAATAAATATTAAGTTTTTTTTGTAAATTTTGATACCCTTTAGATCATAATTGCTCTTTATTTCATAAATTAGGGTTTCATATTTTTAATTTTACAATTTCTGCATGCCATCTTACTAGATTTAAACTGACGATCTATAATCTGGAAAAACCGATAATCCTGATTCGCCGAAGTCCCGACTAGTCCGGATTAAAGACTTTTGACTGTATAATGATGCATACCATTCAGTCTGTACGGGAATGGTGATATATGCCAGTGAAACACTTTTATCTGACACTCAACAGTGTCCTGTATTGACTGACCATGCCATTTCAGTAAACGCACATTCCATTACAAAATCTGTTTATTTCAATCCCCTCTACCTATCTTGATATTTTTGCCAGATATTTTGTCATTACTATCTGTATAAATCTATATAAATAGAGAGAGAATTATATGTGCAGTACAAAGTCCGTAATCCGGACTCGTTGGGATGGCGATTCCAGATTATAGATTATCAATTTAAATCTGGTATGCAGAAATTATATAATTAAAAATATGAAACCATAATTTATGAAATAACGAGCAATTATGATCTAAAGGGTATCAAAATTTGCAAAAAAAAAAGCTTAATATTTATTTGTTTACTTTATTAAACATTTCGTTCAATGTAAGTTGCTTAAGTTGCTTCGTTTTTTGTGCTAATACTTTCTCTTTAATTCTCTCTTCTATAAACAGACATAATTTCTTGTTCAGTTACAAAGTTCTACTGTTCAAATACTGTAATTGCTGTATCGAGAATACCGACTAACTTGTGAATCGAAATGTTTTTGTTTTCAATAACAATAACATTTCATTTTCGTTCTCTGTCACTTTCTTCACTATCGGGAAGCACACATCCGTAAGTTTGTGGCTTTGAGGTCCGGATTACATTCCAGATAATGGACATCCGGATTACGGACTTTGTACTGTAATATATTATTAGAAAAAGTTTTTTATATGTTAGCTACAAGGAACAAAAATTCAGTTAAATCCATGAATTAGTATAAGAAAAATTTTTTTAGTCAGTATTCTAATTAGCATTTTAAATCAGTATAATCTATTCCTCTATTGCAGTAAAAATACATACACACTGTGATATACAATGATTACTACATTTTGATTATAAAGCAAAAATTTTACGAGATTATTAACAATGTATTTTTAGACTTTGAAAACTAATAAATTACTTCTGTGAAAATTCTTTTGGCTTACAAAGTTAAAACAAAATTATAAATTTAAGACATTAGTTAACTGCAAAAGAATATTCATTGAATGGTTTTTAAGAAGTAAGTTAAACTTGCTTATTTATTAACCAACCTCTCAATGCAATTTAAAAATATCAAAAATTGCAAATTTCGAAATTAAATATATCGATTGATTTTTGTTATATGGGGACAATTATTGTTTGATTTATTTCTTTTAACATTTTCCTAAATGTAGGGACTGGGGAAACATATGAAAAGTTAGATTTCGTAACTTTTACAAAATGGTTTTATCGAGTAAGAAATTTTGTTGGCAGAATATATATTACTGAGATTATATAATAGATAATTTTGCTTTTGAGTCAAACAACATATTTTTTCTTAACATTTTTAAAAACATTTTAGGGCAATTTGTATAATTTTTATATTTATTTCATAAATATGCTAAAATTGAAACTTGTATCACATGTAATGTTAAAAGGATTGAATAGTTTAAAAAAGGTATGGAATTTAGATGTTAAATTTTTATTGAAATCATATCAGAATATCTTAATATAACATTCCACTATATTTAATTCTTTGAATTATTTCTCAGCAAGCTTTAACTTGTGTGATTTACCATAGGTCATTGTACATATCTTTCAGCTAGATCTTAAAATTTTGAAATAATCAGGCATTGCTTCTGATAAGATAAACACATCGCATCATAAACCTACTTGTAGCATTGCTTTCAATTATAGATATTTCTGTTTTAAGTTCATGTATTGTGTATCGATTAAAATCACAAGATCTTGGAAATTTTTAACTGTGTGATTCTTATGATTAAATTGGAATGATCCTTAAATTTGAAGCACTGGAATCAGAAAAGACCTTGAAAGGAAACCTCTCTGTCTCTCTTGTGTATATATATATATATATATGTTTTTCTTATATAAAAAGTAAAGTAAAAAGACTGTAGTTGGACAAAAAATTAAACTTTTGAAGTGGTGGAACTTATTTTCTGAAACGACACAAGTCTTTCAAAGAGTACTGAAAGTTTAGATTTTTATAGAGTTATATTACTTAGATACTCGCAAAAAGCATTGTGTGTTGTTCCTATGAATACACAATGCTTTGTACGAGTTCTTGCAGTTACAACACATAACTGCAGTCCGAGTTCTTTGCAAAATTTGCTGTTATTTAAATACAGATGACATGGCATTTAATAAATAAAAGGGAATAATGTTTTTGAACAACCAATCTTTTATGTTTTATTAGCCAATTAATTATCTTCTGGATAGCTTTTTTTTCTTTCTATAAAGTTCATTATTAACATGAATTTTAATTTCTGGTATTTTCAGCTGCAAGTCAGCCGGCAACGACCACTACGACGACAACAGCTCATTATTCGGCCCAGCCAGCTTTTCCAATTCAGACTTTCCCTACAGCCTATCCACAACAGCAGTTCCAGCAGCAATACCCTCAACAGCAGTTTACCCAGGAGCATTTCCAATATCCACCAAATCCATATCCACCTCAAATACCTTATTCGGCTGCTGGTGGATACCAGGGTGGGTATCCACCACCTGCTGGAAATCCTCCACCATATCCAGTTAACGATCAACCACCATACAATCCTTCTTTTGGAAAATGAATGTCCTGCTCACATATTGGAGGATGTGGAAAAATTTTGCAGTTTCTCTTGATTGGCTGATAAATTGTACACTTTTTAACCGATGGTTGAAAAGGTAAATATATGGGAAAAAATGAGGCAGCTCTGATCAAGTAAAATTTATCACTATACTGTCGGAGCTGTCTGTATGTTTTGTGATACTTAAGTTAATTTTCTGTATCTGTAACTTTTAGCTTTCATTTCACTATTATTTATTTTTTCATTTTTATTTTGAGATACTATACATGACTGCTGAGTTTGTTTTAGTGAAGGTGTGTGTCTCATTTTAAACACCAGCCATTATCTGTATAACTATTTGCAGTAGAAGGTTGTTTATCTTCAATGTCTGAATGTGTATGTGGAATGTACTATATTTGATATTGATGAAATTTCTCGTTTACTTAAGCAAAAACGTGTATGATCAAATGTTTCCTTTTCTTGCCTTGAATTTTCTTATGAAAAGAACTGGAAGTTAAAATTAAGTGAAAAGGTAATATACATATTTAACTGAAATGTGAGATTGCAATAATTGTACAGTGAGAGAATCCATTTTGATGCAGGAGATGTGGCTGCTCTTGAATCGAATTTTTTGACTGAAAGTGAACAAATCAGATACTGAGCTTGATTATCTTCATGACTGTTTACCATGGTTTAAGGATAAATAATCTTCTACTGTATTATTAGCAGTTATTCAGTAATCATGTATTTAATCTGAAGTACTTGACATAATTTGTAATATCTGAAACTTATGACCAATTTTGTTTTATGATGCAGTTTATAATGTCAGGTACTCTGATGCCAGTGTATGTAAATATTAATTAGCTTTTTCAAAATTTGGTTGGATCAGTTTAATTCTTAAATGTAGTATGGGTATGTAATGCTGCATTGTAGTGAATGTTGAGTTTCTGTGATGCTAATCTGTACAGTTGCTGTTAAATCAATTGTACTTTCTAAAAATGATGATTAAAAAAGCTTGATTCTTGTATGTATTTACACAGCATAGTATAAAAATTTAATATATGCTGTTTTTAGACTAACTGGCTTGTTACACTTTTTAATAGCTATTTAAAAACTAAGTAACGAAGTCTAACTATTTGCTATTTACAGGAACAAAAACTATTTAAGTTAATGAAGTTTTCATCTGATAAATGTGTAATGAAAATGAATATTCATAAGTTATGCAAATATTAGACTTATTTAGGTGCAAATGCACCTTTCTTAAAAAAAAAAAAAAAAAAAAAAAAAAAAAATCCTGCTTCATTCTTGCAGTTACAGTGCATATAGTAAAAAGAATTTATTTTCAGAAGAATAATTTAGAGGTAATTCTATATTTAAGCTAAATTTTGTCTAATTTTTATTAGTGTATTTTCATACATGAAGTTTTAATAGTCCAGACAAATTACATTCAGAACAGAACTGTTAAAATTTAAAATCTGGAATCTTGGAATATCGAGATGAGTTTATTGATGCTTATATGTAATGATTTTCCTTACTTGTAAAATATGAACTAAACAAGCAAACCTATACTATTGCTTTATGTAAAAATTGTCTTTGTTGATGCATGTATGTAAATGCTGTTCTCATGCTCATAAATATGTATGTTAAGTGGTAGTTTATAGAATTGTATGCCATTCACATTTTAAGAATGGTTTTGCTGTCAGAATCTCATATAGTGCAATGATATATAAAACATTGCTTTTATATATTTGAAACTTTTCACAATACCTCTTTCTGGGTAGAGGAAAGTCTGTATAGATTTTCTGCATTTATTTTACTTATTTTAAGCCATAATTTTGTTAATTTTTTTGGTTTCTCTGATAGCAGTAGAGTGCCATGTATTAAAAATTTATCTGTTTGATGAAAATGGAAAAATTTCAGTTTGCTTATTCATGTGTTTTTAATTTCCATACACACGGTGTTCTGTTACCATGTGCAATTTCATATGCGTGCATTGGAATTTTGAAATTTGAACTGAATGTAAATATAGGTGCAGTGTAATACTTTTCAACAAAAGAATATAACACATTTAAATTGCTGTTACTGTATACAGTACAAAGAGTTTACTAGTGTCATATATTTTTGGATTGTATGAGTTTCATCGACTTTAAATAAATTAATATTGTGATCATGAAGTTTCACGTCAAGGATCTGATGAAATCCATCTTGGAATTTGTTTACTTTTCCAGAGCAGTGAAGATCATCATTACACAGCAAATTCATACTGAGCTTTATTTAAAGCTAACTCTTTATCTGTATGAGAATTTGATAATATGTTGTTAATCTTTTAACTGTTTTTGAGTAACTGGTGTAAATAATAATTTGAACTTTTAAACGGGATTTTAGCTAACTAATAAGTTTGAATTGTATATGTAAAATTTATTAATCATTTGTTAAATTTCATAAGAAATGATTTTTTGACAAAATTCACGAGTTCATCTTGATTAGCAGACGTCCCATTTTGAAATTAGAAATGTATGTGTTTTTCCTTATTTATGTAAGAATTGTAAAGAAAGCATTAATATGTCATATTTTTTCATGCAGAATAAATGATAAAAATATTAAAACATGTTACATAAATAGTTTTCTTAACATATAGTTCCTCCTTGTTTAGCTGTAATTCTCCCCCCTCTCAGAACGTACTGAATTTTGGCACCTGCCATGACTATTAAATAGGTTGTATAAATGATGAGGCATTGCTATGCATTGTTTATCTTCTATTTTATTTTGTAATACTCATTCTAATAGGTTAAAGCTGGGGCCATTTTTTTTTTTTTTTTTCCTAATTTTTTTGTTGTTACTTTGTGCCAACATAATATGTGCGGAACTGTAGTTTTGAGATTTTGTGTAATTATTATGAAGCATTATAATTAAGCAAAGATGGCAAGAATTTGTAAAACAATTTTAATATAATTATTATTCAGGCATTTTTAGAAAAGAAGAAAAGTAATGTACAATGGTTAAAATTCTGCAATAATTTAAGATATTTAAAAATGCATAACTTGTTTGTGTCACAAAAACATTGCTGACTAGAAAATATTTTTTTCCAGTTCTTTAATTTTCATAAAAAATAGCTTTTGTTACTTGCTTATATATATATATAACTACACACACTTATTTTACAAATTCATTATTTAAGAAACAAACTTTTAAGGATAAACAAGTATTATTTCATGGTACAGTTTAAAATTTTATTGTTTGTGAATTGAAGTATAATTTACAAAGTGTGTTTGATAGTACATTTTTCCACATTTCATGCTTTTTGAATGTGTAGTCATTTGTGTATTCTGATGTTTCTATCTACTATATTGCTCAATCTATTTTTGTAGTGTCTTTGTTTTTATTATAAAGCATTATAGCCTGTGATTAAGAAGAGGATGCTAGAAGTGTTGCACTGGAATTTGCTGTTTAGATCTGACTCAGATCTTTGAAATTTTTATTACAGTGAATTTAAGAAGGCAGATCTATTAACAAACTGTTTTTGTGTGAAAACTGTGGACTGGGTATTGATATGAAATCTGTAATATTAGAATTTTACTGTCAGTCAGTTTTAAATAATATTTAAACTAAATTAGATTCTGTATCTCTGTGAACTAATGAAATTACTTATATTCCAAGTCTGTCGGATTCTAGAGTTTTAGATTTTAAATTGGATTATGCATAACCCTACTAATTCATATTTTCCTTCAGTTATTTTTGGTTAAACAAAGCATCAGATATATGAAATTTCTTTTGATTATTATTAGATTTAATGCTATATATCTAAATTCTGTTAGTTTGATTTATTCCGTCAAAGTTAAATGTTTAATATTTGTCACTTTTATGACTGTGTTGAAGTTCTCCATTCTTTCTTATTAATAGAACTCATTTTAGTTTGGTTAATTTTGTTCCTCCTATTCAGTATACACTCAGCATTTCTCAAACTTCAGCATCATAACCCATATGCATGCAACTGCCAATTTTTATAGTGACTCAGTGTTGTTAGATTGAAAAATAAAGAGGATGAGAAAGAAAATAAAATAATAATAATATGTGCGGATGCCAATAAGTAGGTCACAAAAGGCAGTTACTAAACAGTCTAATGTGACACTCACCGGAAAACTAGTTTATTTCTCGTAACTTAATCATCATAATTATTTGTACACTTGTTCCATTGCTTTATCAGTGCTCCATTACCAGCTGTGCAAAATTCTTTGAGTTGCTGTCTTAGCCATATCTTGAACACTGTTATCATGTGCAAAGCATTTGCCTCCATGATGTTTTGATGTTTTTTAGTGGACCAAACAGGTATTACAATTGTTATTGTGTACAGTATAGTTTTTAAATTAATTCCTCTACCTTCTACACTGGTGAGTTTTTCTAATCTGAACAGTTTCTATCACTGATTTTGGAGTGGTAGTGAGAAAGCTTCTTGCCTCACTTGTGCTTGACCAGCTTTATGCAGCAAGCACTTCTTTCCTTAAGCAGGAAACTTTCCTTTATGAATATCATTTGAAAACATTTCCCCTTCTTCATCCAAAAAAGCAGATAACTGAATGCTACTCTTGTTTTGTATAGTCACTGAGTTTCATTGGCATCTTGAAACTGAACTACACATGTGCAACTGATACTTGGTAACTAATAAAATGAATTCATTAGCTAGGATGGTTATGCCACTTACTAATGTGCATGAAAAATGCTCATTGCTGCTTTCAAATGTATCATACTAATTTTTGACTTCACAATTTCCCATCATAATATGTATAATAATTAATAATTGTAAATTAATTAACAAATATAAATAAATACGTATATAGCAAAGTAAAAGTCCTCATAACTTTTCACAACCCACTTAAAACTGGTCCACTAAAGATTAGAAATGATCATGCAGTGACAAAAAAAAACATGATTTCAGTTTGAGAAACAGTTTGAAGTTGGGAATTTTCAAAGGTATCTAATTTTCAATATTTTTTTAAAATTTTTGATAAATGTTTGTACTAGCATAATTTCAGGAATCATTGGCTCAAAAATTCAATTTTAAAATAATCCAAATAACAAAATCCATAATAGACTTAAACCTTGAACTGTGGAGATGAAAACTCTAATTTTGGCTGAAATTGGCTGGAGCTTAAACATTTAGGGGATTAATTGGCTGTCTGAAATTTACTGCTTTTTTTGAAAGGTCTCTTTCTCTATCTCTCTTTTGTTTGTTTGCTTATTTTGGTAAAGTCATTTACTAATTTGTATTATATATCTATGTGTATTATTTAAAGATCATTTTTAACTTAAATTTGTTACTTTGTAGACACTACTTTATTTTTAATAGCACATTAGTTTATTTTGTTTGAATGTTCCAAGTAAAATGGAGATGAATGTTTCGTGCAATTCGCTTTTATATGCTTTTTTTTAAATTTTATACATGTGGTTCAATATTTGTAAAAAAAAAGTTTATATATGAGGTTAATTAAATGGATAATATTATTAAATGGAAATTATGATTGTATTTGAGTATGATTATTCATTTATATATTTGTGTATTCTGGTGAAAAAATTATGCATTATTAATATTGAATATCCATTCACCTTAATGCAATTTTTCATATCTTATTTACAGATGTATAATAATTCTTTATTATAGTCAAAAATGCATCTAGTCAAGGGGAGAGAATTTTGTCAATTTGTCATTGAAAAACATAGCTTTTAATTTTCAAAACACACTGAACAAATGTTTGAGTTGTATGATTAATTTAATGTATTGACGTGTACAAATGTATGTATGTAGATTTTTCATAGCAAATGTAAACAATATTTTAAGTTTAATATCATTTTATAATTTTACTTATCATGATTTTTTATTTTATGAAATCATGAATCTGATAGGAGATGATATTTTTACTAAAATGTAAGTAATGGAAAATTAAAAATATTGATTTAAAGTATGAAATTTTAACTTTTAAAATTCCATAAAATGTATTTATACTTGTTCAATATTCAGGTGATTTTAATCTGAGCTAATGACTCTAGAATATAGCACTGTTAATTAATACCCTTATATATGTGTAAAATATTTATAATCACTTTCATAGAGCTGGGGTACTTGTTCAGATTCTTTAATCATGTGAAAGATACTGGCAGTTCTCTTTTTGAAGAATTTAGAATAGTAGGTAATTGAATTTTACTGAAAGTGTTTGTGGTTGTAGAAAAGTATGATCTGGAGATTGTACTGTGTGGAAGAATATTTGGTGTACCGATACCTGAGAAATTACATAAGTTATACAATAAAAAATTGTACATTATGTCATGTGGCATGTTATTTATTGTGTTAATAAATATTTATTCTGTCATTTTAAATTGTAATATTTGACATTTCAAATTATCACCAAGTAATTATGTTCTGTGATCTGATACTTCAACGTACTTCAAGTGTTTGTCTTGGACACTTATAAATTTTTGTAAATAATGTAGAGAATTTTATAAAAACAACTTTATCATGAGAAGAGTTAATGCTGTACATATGAAATCAAAATTCAAACTTTTTTGTGGTCCTGACCAAAAAAATTTCAATTTGTAAATTGTCCATAATGGTTTTGTTTTAAGCCCAAAGGGGCAATTTACCCAGAAGGGATATTAATTTCATTTTGGCATTTTGCATCATCCACTATAAAACAATTCACTTTTCAAATCGTTGCCACCAAATATTAGAGCCCTGCATTATATTTAAAGAAAGTAAATAATAAAGAGTCTGCATGAATGCATGTATGTTTATTGAATTGTGAAAAAACAAAATGGTACCTACACACATAAAATTTTGAATAAAGTAGTCCTCCACTCGAATATGGGCATCTGGAAAATCCAAATTTGGAATTTGTTTTATTATATTTCACGTTTTGTAAAACTTTAATGAATTTTTCATTAACAAACTCAATGATTTCAAAGTGAGCAATGGCAACACTGTACGGGGAGACATTTTTATGTTTAGCGTGCGAGACTGTGTGTCAGAGATTATAAAGATATGCTCATTTTAAATATTTTGTGATATTACTGTTGAATTAAATTTCATGGTTCAAGTGCGAAGAACATAACATTTCATAAATAAATTTAACAAACAACACGTTAAAAAAACTCACATTTGGGTATAATATAAAATTTGAAAGCTTTCAGAAATTTTTTTTTGATGTGTGCGTGCATATTTGGCAGAAAAAATGTGAATTTCAGTCATGATAGGCAAGGCATTGAAAAGTCAGTAAGTTCATTTTCAAATATCTATAATTTATTTATAGGAAAAACATTGCTTTTTTTGTTTTTAATTTACTAAAGCACAGGGAATATTTTAAGAATTAAAAATCATGTGTACATATAAAAAACTTAAGATTTAAGATAAATATTTTAAATTGCTAGGCATTTATGTAAGGTAAATCCTATACAAGAGGCTACTTAACTGTTGGGAATAGAAATTCAGGGTGAATTGTCTAATTTTTTGCAGTTCGAGCAAATCCCTCACTTTTGAACAGTTTAGGAAGAAGTTGTAGAGATTCATTGCAATATACACTCGTGTGCAAAATTAAGAGAATTTGCAAATAATATCTGTCTTTATAAAAAAATATTGAACCAAAGGTAGTAATTATGCCGCTGAAGAATTATGCAAATATTCAGAGTCGAATATGTAAGCCCAGGGCTTAATTTCTAAAATTTGAAGTGCCGGAGCCCTATGGAAGACTGGGGAAGGAAAGGGAAAAAATAGATAAAATAGCTAAAAAGCATTAAATAATAAGTTAAAATTAATTAAAAATTAACATTAATTAATTAAATTTCATTAAATAATAAATTTAAGTTAAGAAAAATGTAAAGAGATATCTAATAAATCATCAAATTAATTTTAAGTAGTTAAATAAATAGAAAAAAAAGCATCAGACCTTGTCTTATTTGGGACATCGGCTGGAATTACAATTCCTTTTAGGTGCTAAGAAGCAGCTCAAAGGATCTCCGTCTGAGTTTAAGCCCTGATTATACGTATAATGCATTATTTCAAGGCATGACAGGTACCACTCTTTTTTTGCAGCACACCAAGGAAAAGAGAAAAACGATTAAAGTTCCACTAAGGAGAACAGTGAGAATTCTAAAAACAGTATGAGGATGGGGAAAGAAATTTAATGGAAAAGTGTGGCTTTGAAAATAAAGAGGGAACTTTCTGATCACGATGCTCTTTCAATTTAATTTTAGCCGTCGAGCAGAAATTTTCCCTGAATACTTTACTTGAATAAATTTTGCTGAATACAGCATTAGAATAAACATAAGACTTCTTTGTGCAAGTGACAGCAGTGGTCCCTGCATTTGGTTACATCATTCAGAAAATGTAGAGGAGCTCTGCAGTAGTCATTAGCATGGAACGTGCACGACAAGGGTATCACTTTTAGTTCTTTGAAAAAATACAAAATTTACCCGCTCTCATAAATTCATTGCATATCCTGGAGGATAAGCCTTTGACATATGATTGGGGGTGGGTTTTTCTTTCCTTAAAAGTCTAAACTTCTGTGCAAGGCTTGAGTGCGGGAGAAAGACAGGCCTGCATTCAGAAGTTAGAATTGATTTTTAAAGCATGTTTACTGTTAAAACCAAATTTATGTGCTAAAATTGTAGCTCATTTACATAAAAGAAGTGCCGGAACCTTTTATTTAGGGCTCCGGATGAAATTATAATTTATCTCGAAAACTGAGGAGCACCGGAGCAATTTAAGCTGTGTGTAACACGTGCGTGTCTGCAGAACTGACTGACTGACTGATTCTTATATCGCCAGAATACCAAGATTCTTTAATACATTAAAGATTAGGACAGAACCAGAAAAAGCGTGATGCGTCCATATTCTAAATTTATGAACGATGACTGCCTCTATCAAAATTGATTTCTGACCCTTATTTAGACACGAAATTTACATAAAAAGACCTTCTATGAATTTTTGCCTTTTTTCTCATGCGGAAGGCATTTTCTGAAAAGCTCTTATTTTATATTAGGCTTCCGTAAATTAACTTCCTTGATCCTTGATGCGTGCCATTGGTTGCTGGTATGACGTCATACCCGGGTGACAATGTAAGCTGAAACAAAATGATCATTTTATATCTAGTAGATATAATAACATACCGGAAATACCAGGTATATCCTTTCTAATTAAGTATTTTGTTAAAGCAAAGGTTTATTTTATGCACAGAAATCGTACGAATGATGAAATAATTGTAAATATTACATTCTTTTCTTAAAGGAAAGCATTAGAATATGAAAAACGATATTTAAGTTAATTAAGGGGACGGTGGGCTTTAAAATAGCTAAAAATCAACCAAAATATTGAATTTGATTTTTTACCCTCGTAATATTCCATATACGTAACTACATCGTATGCAAAAAACCGAATTCAAATATTCTAATTTTTAAAGAAGTTACAAGCATGTATAAACAATGTGTAAACTTTGCCCTTTAAATTTTGGAGAAAATTATAAAAAAGTGTATTTCAACAGTTATAATTTATATATTTGCCCAAAAGAAGTTTTTATTTCTAAAAAAGGAGCTAGAAATGTCAGTATTGATTATAAATGAATTTAACTTTGATTATGTAAATGCTATACGCATAGAGCAGGGGGAAACTTACTCGTTTTCCCTATTCGTTGCAAAAACGTGGGATCAACGTCACTTGAACCAAAGCAAAAAGAGAAGTTTACCTGCTTGGAAAAAAACAGAAATAGTAAAAAAAATATTGTAAAGCATTAAAAGATAATGTAAATGTGACAAATGAAGGTAAAACATATGGTACGGGTGAATTTTAAAAGTTTCGTTGAATATAATGCATAAATTGTTTCTTCCCTATAACTTTGTATCACATACCTATTTGTGATATGTTTATATTGTCATATTTAATATTATGAGATTAAAAATTGTTAAATGATTCGAAAATGTTATCTAGTGTTTACAAATTCACATTTAAAGTTAATTTGCTGTTTCTCATGACCATGTATTAAAGGTAAGTTTGAAGAAAAACTTTGAATTCGGTTTTCACAAAACACATTTTTTCGCAGTTCGTATGTCTTGAAAATGCTCAATATGAATGATATTTGGAAGAAACTATCCTGTTATATGTTACAGTAGAACTGTGTATGCATTTTTGGATATGAGGTTATTAAGAAGTTTAAACTTGTGATAATGTTTAACAAAAGGTGAATTTTTTCCGAAAACTGGGTTTTAGTTAACAAAAATTCTTTTTAAAAACTTTTAATTCATCATATTCAATAACGGATACACAAAAACTTTTTAACTAACTTTAAGCCTTTATAACTAACTTTAAGGAAGAATTAGGAAAAAATATTGAAAATTAGAGCGCAAAGAGCATAGCATTTTTAATCTTTAATTAAAATAATTAATTATTTGTTTTAAAATTTTTTAATTTAAAATAAATTGAAATTTTGAACATATATTTATAAACTGATGTTATAATATGTATATGTGTAAAAATTTCTTGTTGAAACAAAAACTAAAAAGTAAACAAGTTTTTCATTTTACTTTATTATTTGCACTGATAACTTGTGAAAAACAGATAAAAACAGGTAATATGGAAAGCCATAGAGGAGAGGTGCTTTTCATACGCAATGTATAAAGCGGAACATTCACTAGTAGTTAGGATTTGAGTATCCCTGCACCCCGGAAGTGCCGTCGACCTTCAAAAGTACTTGGATGTAGTAGTAGGCGGTAATGTAGGCGAGACTGTTTGTCATATACTATGTTTTTCTAAAATAGCGCGTTAAATGAAGGATGAGAGGCTTGTAAAAAAAAAAAAAAAAAAAAAAAAAAAAGGGAAATGATTTAATTAAAATTCACGAGTCGAATGTAATATGCGCATTTGAAAGGGTTGGTTTCAGTTGAGTGGGCTGGGATAATATTCTGCATTGCTAAATTAGGAACGAGATGGTCGCTTTTCCTTGAGAAAGGTTAGATCAAGGTTAAGATTTTGAGGGGGAGGTGAAAGTAGTATTTGATGAAATACGTGTTTTGAAAGCGTAAACATCCTGTAAGCGCACAAGGCGAGACTTGTGAAACTTTCACTTGATCATTACATTTCGAAGCGGTGAGGTTGGTGCTATCATCCTCCATAAGGATTACAATGGAAGCTCGTAATGGTGAGTGAAACGTAAGGTTTTTTTTTTTTTTTTTTTGTGTGTATTGTTCTTTTATTGTTAAATACTTTCTGCGATAAATGTTAAGCATAAAATTATAATTAAAATTAGTTTATTTTAGAACGCAAACGTAGATGTGTTGACACGTTGGGGGATGTGCAGCCGTCGGAAGATCTTATTTTAAACCTTGC